GACCAGAGAAGTTGAGAATGCCTACTTTCTGTATAAATTCTCCAGAAATGGAGAAGAAGGAAAGGAATCACTTGAGAGGATACATCCAATATCTCACAAAGTGTCATTCACAGGAAAAAAAGGGGAAATTACTTACAAACAGAAAAAAATAAATGTGATTTACTACAACCTAATATCCTGGAACCTCCACAACAAATATATTAGCAACCTTTTTGCACTGGAGTCATCACGCAACCCACCCAAGCTGAGCGCAAAACTTCTGGTTTTCTTTTAGTCCTCACTTCCCCACTTCTCTGTGGGATCAATGCTTCTCCACTCCCATCACATGGCCCAAGAGTTTCCAAGAGGACCTGGAGAACCAGAGCGGCTGGGACCAAAATCCACAGCCGGAACATGAAGTCACTTCTGGTATGGACAAATGAGGCTTTGCACTTAACAAAACAAACAAACAAACAAAAACAAGCACACACAAAACACTGAATTCAGAAAGAGGGAAAAAAATACTATGCCTTGGGCAAAAAAATAAAAAAATAAAATAATTAATAATTTTACATGAAATGTAATTGTACACAGGCTGAAGCTATTCATAAATTCAGGTCAAACACGGTTAATAGCTTTGTCTGAAAATTAGAAGAGAATAATTTAGAAAGTGTGAAGCTTTTTTAATGTTCTGTGCTTTCTTCTTTAAGTTGATCTAAAAAGAAAAAAAGTATAAAAAAAACTTAAAAAAACTAAAAAAAAAAAAGAACCAAAAAAGGAAGAAGAGCAAAGTAATCTGAAATGGCAAAGTTTTAGGTTGGCCAAGAGAACTCATTGACTCTAGGTTTTACTAAATCAGACTTGACATTTGGAGGACTTTGTCACTCTGGGCTACTTTGTACATTCTTAACAGAACTGGGATTTTGTTGTGTGTTACTGGAAGACCAGCTTAGAAATATCCAAAAAGACCTGGTTATTTTAGATTGCCAAACAAAGAAAAAATGAATTTACTTTTAATAGATATTGGTTAATACTAGTCAGTGATTCAGTGGCATGAGTACTGACAGAGTAACCATGGACGCAGGCTTTCTCAGGTCAGATTGCTGCGCTGCAGTTGCTATAGCTTTTCAGAACTACACAGAGTTATGTAATAGGGACTTTCCTGCGGGGAGAAGATTTGAACCATAGATGTTCAAACAAAGCAGGCTTTTCTTTGTGTGTGATTCATGCTCTTTTTCCAAGGAAACTCCAACTCTAGGTCCTTCCATTCCAACTCTTACAGATTCTTTTGCACAATGCAACTGAGATACTCAGTATAACAGCATAGGGCTATAAGCTGCCTAAAACTCCTGTCTTGTTCCTCAGCTCTTCACCTCTTCATTTCTGCAAGAGGCTTTTTGGAGGTCTAACAGGGGCAGTCTTGCTCCTGGTACTCACTGAGAATGCTTCTGCCAGGGTCACTTTCTCTCCCTCTGTGAGGCTATATTTGATCTTTCAAATATAACTTGCTAGTCCTCATTTTCAAAGTCCTTCCCAGATTATTGCTGGCCTAATCTTCACTATCCACTGGACAACTCCAGTCAGCCACAACAGTGCCCTTTTGCTTAAGTTTCTGGCCAGAGTCTAAAGGAAGATGCTGTTCCCAACCACGCAGGACTGCTGATGAGCTTCAGGGATCTCCTGGAAACAACGAGGGCTTGTTCTGTAAGAGCCCACCCTTTCATCTACCAGAAAAGCTGCTCAAATACAAGATGTTTTAGGCCAAGCAATCTGTGCTTGACAAAAATCTGCTATTCCATACTGAACTCTGTTTTACTAGAACATTTTAACCCAAACTTACTGGACTTGGAGCAAAATTGCTTTCTGATCCAAGGAAGTCTATGTTTGCACACAACCTAACACATCGAGAGCCTTAAAACTAGGGCAAGACCCTTGGGGTATGACACAGACTACAACTATTCTTTGAACCAATAGGAAAATGAGGGCAGAGAGAAAAATCTTGGGCCATGTGGAAAAAAAAAATCTTATTCTTCATGAAAGGAACAAACCCAACACTTACTTACTGCTGTGCAAGAAGGCCTTTCCACTACACACTCCAGTGCAAGCGTTTAGTGACCCTGCTATCCAAACTTTTCTGTATTAGCAAGAAATAAAAGTATCACAAGAATCCAGGACGTTTTGAGTACAAGAATTCTCACTTTTAAACAAACACTAGCAGCATTTGTGGCTTAAATGTCTCTCAACTATCATTAGACACTTAGCATCAGATGAAGCATCTGGCTGGTTATGTGGGCTCTTAAAAACACAACAGAGTTTCTGCCAGCAGGACTTTGCCCTACCTGGACAGGCGCAATGGTTTAAAGTCTCCCACACAGCATGTAATGTGAGATGCACCTTGAGGCCAAAAAAAAAAAAGGTAGAGCGGAGGTGCTGAGCTGAAACTTCCTACACACACAAGTTGTGCAAATGCAAATTTTTTCACTCTGAAATGAAATGCCTGTCCATGACGACAGGGCAAAATCTGCCGCCAGTGGGTGGATTTAGGATAACCAGGTCAAGTATAGGAAGGAACACGCCTCAAAGTGCTCTTTCAACACAGAAAGTTACTTGGAAACACACTCAGGTTTTTCCTCCCATCTCGTCTCTTTGGCAATCCACAGTAAGTCATCACTAGTCACTGAAAGTATTAACTAGTTTAAATGAGATTTCTTTGACCTATATATCATTTCCTTTGTGTTACTTAACTGGAGATCAAGACAGTATGCAATCAAAAAAAAAAAAAAGGCTCCAGGGACAAGTTAAAAGTGTATGTTGAATTAGATTATATGGCACCTTTACAATAAATGCATATAGGATGACAAAGTGACTATGTTTAACCCTCAAGTAGAGATCTTCCCAGAGCAGGAGACTGATGTTTGGGGGGGGGGGGGGGGGGGTGCGCAGGAGGGTTGTTTTTTGGTTTTGTTTGTTTAATTAAGGTGCTAGGATTTGCATACTGTACACATCTACATGTCACTTAAGTCCGCTACAAATTTTAAAAGTAAAGCCTAAGAGATTTTATTCTCTTCATCTCTTCAGGTAACAAAATAATGAATAAAGATAGTTCCAGGGTTGAACATTGGTTGAACTGAATGAAAAAAAAATGGGGATTTGCAAAAAAACAGAAAACAAACAAAAATCAGCAAAGTTGGGAGAAGTTCTGTATCCAGAGACCACTTACCTAATAACCTTCTCTTCGGATGCAAGGCACCCACTGACCCTGTCTGGCTCATCGGTCACGTGGAACATAGCTGTCATGGGAAGGATCTGTGGTCGGCACTGATGAGAAAACAGGTTGTGACTTTTACAGCATTGGGTATTTTTTGAGAAGGATCGTTTCATTCTTGCATACAACATGTAGCTCATATACTAAAGGAAGTACTAAAATATTAAGTCTACCAGAGAGCAAGATTTTCTCAGTAGCCATATAAAATAGATGTCTTTTTTCTCAACCACATTTTTTGCAGAAGTGAAGAGTTCAAAGCCAACTTGTGAACCACACTGACAATCTTAAAGTGAAGGTGAAGTATGGTTTAGCAGTCACAACAAAAATTCAAGCCACTTCTTTCTCACTAGTATCATTTATCTTCTGTTTAGTCCAGAAATACCCTCAGACTGCTCTTTGAACACCAGTGACTTCCACACCATTGTACAAGCTGGCAGACACAGTGTATGGGACAGAGGAAAACCAGTCCAGTACTGCCCACTTGCAGCCAGCATTTGCACACGTGTCAGCTCTGGACCTGCAGCAACCACCACGTAAGTTCAAATAAAAGGAAAATTCCCACAGACTCCTACTGAGGAAGTAGTAGTTCCTCTGCTTATGATCTGGCAGGAAAACATAAGGAAAACAAAAGAAACCATTGCAGACATATCCCCCTGCCTTCCATAAGGCTTTCTCCAATTTCCCGTGGGATCACACTACTTTTGGGTTTAGGTTCTTTCTGTCTTAATGGTTTTAAGTCAATTTTTTTTCTACTGATACAGTTGCAACAGAAATAGACCCTGATGCCAAGAAGGAACACATACTTAAAATATCATCTTTCTACTCAAGTCTGGAAGTTTTATTATCTATTTGACTTACCTGTTTCTTTGTTCACAAGTAGTTTTGAACCATAAGAACTAAAGTGACAGCGTTGAAATTGAACATTCTAGCATTCTCAGGCCTATACATCAAAGGGGAATATGGCTCAAAGCTCAGAAACAGCATCACTTTGAACAGTGAATTTTGTAGCAGAACAGTATCGACAGATACCTTCACAGCCCTGAATGTTTTCCAGCTCAGCTCAGTGGCCCCTCTGGACCACTGCTTCTCACTCCCTCAGCTGGGAATTACAATGCAGAAGGTGTATTTTGCGCCAAACAGAGAAAGCTAGCCACACCGAGTAAACCAGAAAGTACGAGGTTCTTCGCCAACTAACAAACCCAGTCTGCAGACAATATGAAACATCAGTACTAGGAAACCCACCAAAGTGTGACAGGCTTTTTTTTTTTTTTTTTTTAAACAAAAGACAGCAAGTTAGAGAGTCACAGTGCAGCTCCCTGGCCGTACCTCCCTGTGAATTTTTCGCAAAGTTTTTAGGGGATGTCTGCTGTAAATTGGGTGCTACGCCCCAGGCTACTCACAAATACGGAGATGTTGACCTGCAATTGACCTGTTGATCTGCGTTAATTCAACAATGAAAACAACCAAAACCAAGAAGATCCAACCAGGAATTTTATTCTCAGAAAAGCTGAAGATACTAAAGTTAACTTTCCATAGCTAATAAAAATTGGGAGATTAACAAGATAAAGCACTCCTTCAACCCAGCACTGGTGCAAAGCTAGCAGTGTACAAACGGGGAGCTAAAGTGTGCCTCCTCAAACAAAGTAGGTTCAACACATCGCAGAACTCAGCACAAAAGCCCTGTGTGCCCCAGGCTACTTTGGTAGCATGTTCCAGCAAGAGCTCCCGTCCTGACTCGTACAGGCATCCCAGTGTGCAGCCACAAAGAAAGCCTGTAAGAAAAAGAATGAACCCCAAATGACCAAAAGTGATTAATGACACACTGAAGAAAAAAAAAAGTTTGAAGAAAAACACTTTCTGAAAATATTTAAGGATTTAAACAATTTTTTTACCTGAAAAAAACCTTCTGAGGAATTAAGTGGATGAAAGTCATAAGCAGACTGCTGGAAATCCCAGTTGGCAACAACCATGCTCCGGATGGCTGGAAAAGGTACAAGTAGTAGTTTAGATTAGATTTAGTTTAGATTCCCAGTATTGCCTGTATCAACATGAATACGGAGCATAACTTTCTCCACACTCCCTCTGCATGCACCCCATTCAGACTTCCTTTGAGCTCTGTCCAGAAGAGTTAAACCAAGGATTAATTTATTCCATAAGCCTCAGGTGGAGAAAAGAGCAAAAATATCTGCTTCATTTCATTTTAGTGTGAGCTATTACCTTTAGTCACCGCAAATAGTTTTCATAGATTGAACATGGCAGGCCTGTATCCGAACTGGATTTCTGATGAATCGAGGGCCATGAATTCCAGCTGAGGATCTGCCTGGACATCCTTTCCATATCTTGCTAGGAACTCGCCTCTGCTAGGCTCAGCTGTTAGCTCCAGATACTGAAAGGCAAGTAATGGAAACCCTCACCTGAGCACAGCGGGGCTTAGGCCCAGACTGCAAAGAGCTGCTAGTTCTCAAAATAGGCATTTAGTGCACGAGAAAGAGATGGATCTGTTCATCCATAAATCAAGAAGTTAAATTGCTCTGTGAAAAAGCCTGAGTCTGAAGAACCCCAGCAAAGAGGTAGTTTAATCTTCATAACTGGCATTATGACCTTTATGTACATGGACTGTATTTGACCACCAATTAAGAAAAATTTCTGGTATTAGCTACAGTAAATTATATCTGGTACAACTCTTTAAGAGAGTATAGTACAAAGTCTCTGAAAAGTACAAGCCTTCCGTTTGATTTGCAATACCTGTTCTCCCAAGCAGTGTAGGTGTCAAGAAACAGGCATGATTTGGGAGCTGAGAGTCCACGCCCAAGTCAGCAGCCAACTAGCCAGTTTGAGAACGAGCTCCGACAGAGGCCCAATGTGAGGTGCCTTGGAGAGCTAATGTGAGGCTCTTGGACATGGTGCAGAGCCAAGGGCCTGGAGGCAGCAGTGGCAGGAGAAGTCCTAGGGAGACTGAGGTTTGCAGGCTTGCTCTCTGCTTCCCCTTGTCCTCTCTCCAGAGTTTCCCCGTCTCCTTAATGCATTACAGCCCATATTAACTCGTTAGGGTATGCTACTACTATAAAATTGACCTTTTCTCTGGATCTTACTTAGTCTTCCTTTCCCCACCAAACCCAAATAGAATTTGGGGTGGGCACCTAAAAATTAATGGGGGGGGGGGGGAGGGTGATGGCAGGGTACACACGTCAACTCCAGAACGCACTAAATTCAAACTCAGCATAAAAAGCACAGACCCCTTGGAATCCAGCAGCTGAGCCTGGCTCTAAGCAGCTTATGACATAGGGCTTTAGTTGACCAAAAGAGTGCATAAGCCCATTGTAGTCTTTCTTTTGTTTGTTATTTGGACATGAGTCAGGAAAAAAGGACGAAGTTTTCTGTGCAAAAGAGATGGCCCAAGGAGCGTGGAAAGAAGAGCTAACAGACGATGAAAGACAGGGGATCTGAAAGCAGAAAAAAACCCCAAACATCAGTAACTGGAAGTTACTTAACTCATTCTTTCTCATTATTACATTAGAGGAAAAACATAGCTTTGTTTTTTTAGCGCCAAAAAATTTGGGTTGGATTCTGATCTTAAGTCAGCATAAACCCAGAGTAGCTCTATTCATTTCAACAGAACTACCCTGTACTTCAACAAGAGAGCCCGAGAACAAAATTGTGTGCAAAATCTCATCCTTTCAAAGGGGTCGTCACCTATCGCAGCAGGTTGAAGTAAACACGCCGCGAGCATGAACCAAAAGAGCTCTAGCATCGTTGTCAGCCGGTGACTGATGGCAGGGAAAGTGCCAACAGGCATTATTACGTCCCTGTCACACATTAGTTTCACAAATGGCACAACAGCTCACGCAAGTGTACACCAGCTCAGGAAGGATTAGACAGATTTGCAGATAACAAGTCTATAAGCAGGTGATTAAAGGCAATAGGCAGGGAAGTACCCTTTAACATCACTAATCCAATAACTCTGAGGGCTGAGCAGTAGGAGGCCAAGAGCTGCAAAAAGTGTCCCAGCTGAAGCCACAGCTGAAGGCATGATACTGGCCTAGCTGGGCAACTGCTCTGACCCAACAGGGAATTTCTTACATTTTTCTTATTCATATGCATTTCCCCATTCTAATGTCACCCCATCCTTTTACTGCTCAGGCACTAAGAATGCTTTCTCAGAAATTATTGGATAATTCAGTGTTAGCTGCAAATTTATTGTTTTCTTGCTGTATCGACCACATTCCTAAATTACTAAATATATATTACATTTATCTTATAAATATTTCATTTAAGTTCATTTTATAAATATGTTATAGATTATTATATCCCTTGTTCCAGGCTTATATGCTATCAGACAGGCAGCTGTCAGAAAAAGAGAGAGACCTGTGTTGATGCTCGGGTACGTACAGTTTGTGCAAATCGGCATGCTCCAGCTCGCATCCTTCACTGTTTGAGTGCCGCAGGCTCTCGTGAAGGTGAGCATGGGGCCATCTGCTTCGTCTTCAGTGGGGCCATGAGAACTAGCCAAAGCAAAAGATCTGAGAAATTTGCTAACAAACAACAGTCGGGGGAAGCGGAGCAGTGTTTTACTTTTTAAACCTCTCAGAATAGTACGAAACCCCACATACTCAGCCAGGAAGCTATTTAACCTCATGACACTGGTCTCAGTTCTCTCTCACCTCTGTCATTGCCCAGGTGTAGCTACTGCACCATCCTTAACATGGACCAGTCTCAGGCACAGGCAGGTCCCAAACCATTTACACCATTAAAGAGATCTGAAATTCTTTGGGAAAAGGATCAGCTCTGTCGTGTTTGTATCAGTCGAGCACTAACCACGGTTTCAGTCTTGAGTGACTGCTGCCTTTGGGACCCGTCACAGCGAGAACAGGCCTGGATTAGCTGGCTGTTCCTTTAAGGGTGCTGAAGGTGGATGCTGAAGGCAAGGCAGCCGGAAATATTTTCAAAGGAGGTGTCATGAGAGCCAGCTGAAATACCAGAAGAACAGGAAAAGCACGATAAAACTAGAGTCCAGTAGCTGGAATACAAGGACAGCCAGAAGAAGGAGACAGAGATATTAAAAGGGGACCTTTACCAAGGAAGCAAAAAAGAAAGAGCCCCAGCAGACAAGGTATGATTATATTTGAGCATAAGAAATCAGAAATCCCTCAGGGACAAAGGAAAGAGGGAGGAAAGGAGAGAGCAGCCTAGCGCATTAGCCCGGGGTGGGGGGGGAGTGGGTCAGGCTGCGTAGGAAAAGAGCCAGCGGCTCTGGCATGATCCAAGAATTGATGGGGGGAACAAGAAACAGGAGAGGTCTTGCTGCGGAGCGATAGCAAGGCATCCCGTCATCTCTCAAAAAGTTCAGGAAAAAAAGTTATAAAAGACAAACCTAAACCTAAGGGGTAAATGAAAGGGAGCAAGCTGGATCCCTCCCTGCTGAAGCAGCAGGGTACGGATCTTTCTGTTAGAGGTTTGTGGTTATAGAGCTGCTGAGCGGGCGGCCCGGCGGCAGGGGGCAGGCGGGCGGGCGAGCGGCACCCACCTCCCACAAACCCTCCGCTCACGCCGCTGCCCAGCTCCGCACCGGTGGCAGGTTTTGCCTGCACGGCTGCTTAAATCAAGGAGGAAACTTCTTGCCTGATTTATCTACCAGGCCAGCACAGGCTCCTCACAGAGCATGTCTATAGAAGAGGTACATTTCTAGTAGGAAAAACCAAACAGACAGATGCGGTAGCTGCAGCACATGCACTGCGACTGCAGGGACGCTGTCACCAGGGTGAGTTTAAAGTTTTTCTGTACACAGCTCAACAAGGAGATTACTGTGCTCGATGGCGCAGCCCCCTCAGAGATTGCCGGCGTCGGAGGCGCCCGGCGAGCCCCTGGGAGCGCCGCAGCATCCAGCGGCCCTGGAAGTCAGGCTGGGCCTCTCCAGCGCCCCAAGACGCAGGGCGTTTTCAGAGGATGTGCAGAGCGCGTTGTAGTGAGGCCTGCTGCACTCGCTGCACACGGCCTGCCGGGGCAAAGCAAACACAGCAAGACCTCAAACTGTTTAGGGCAAGCATAATCCAAGAATCTAACCTGGGGAGTGAAAAATATAGCCTCCATCGGTTACAGAGCTAACTCTTACGACCATTCTTCATTAGAGTGCTAAAGACACTTTTTCCCCCCCTTCTTTCCACTTCTGGACACCATTCTTATAACCTCATCGTACCAGGTGAAGCATTCACATGCTTTCACGTAGCACTAGGATGCTGTAACACCTTAACTATTGTCACGTGAAAGGAGAGCAAGGGGATGTTATGGTCTAAGTGGGAAGGTTGGGCAGGGCCAAAACTGCCGGAGCAGCGCTCTCAGCAGAAGCGATTGCGACAGCAGGGAAGGGAGAAGGAGAAGTGCCTCATTGCTGGAGCGCTCTGAACAAGTCCCGTATTCCACCCAGACGCACGTTTCCTTTGCTGGGGTCATCTTGCCCTCTAGTGGT